CAGGTTGCATCCTCCTGTTGCCACTAACGCTTCTTTTTTCCTCCAGTGCTCTACTGTCCAGAGGTCAAGGACATTGCGCGTTGCACACTGTAAAAGAAGAACCTGGGAGCTATGGCAGAAGGCAGGTGGGAGCAGCATCTTCTGGCGTGCTCTAATACAAAGGGTTGATGTCAAGACTACCCCCCCCCATGCTGGAATTGGTACGTTCGTGATGGAGTTGAACAGAAAGTACCCTAGGTGGTGTGAACTTTGAGCGGCGGAGGCGCCTACACTGTGCCAGCTTTACATTGTGTTCAGGATGGAAGTGGCCAAGGAATAATAGAAACAAATCGTACCATAATGTGGGAAGAAAACATACAAAGCTATGGCTTTGGCGTTTATTCAGGGAGGCTATGGTTTAAGCAGCAGATCCCATTTTAGCAATGGTCAGTGGTTGGAAATCTTTACTTTAAAAAAAAAAAAAAAGAAGAAGACGACTGGATGGGGTTAAGCTAATTATCACGTCAATCTCACTTATCTGGTTATGTGTGTGTGCTGGCATGCCATCTTCCCACTCTTGGTTCCTTGTTCCAGAAATTACTGAGTTGCCTCCCTGATTATGATTGGAAAGCTTGCATACACAGTCGAAAATGTCCAAGAGGCATTTACATGAGGCCGTAATTAAGGCTTATCAGGGATGGGTGAGCCATTTGATAAAGGAATCAAAATTTAACCTTTATCTGTTATCTTTACAGACTGTAGCAATATTGAAAAAAAGTGCTCATATAATGGGACATTGCTTATTATATGTGATTAGTTCTGTTTTAAAGTCCTGTAAATATCTTACTATAGACTTAACAAGACCAGCAGTGTTGGTCTCACAGCTTGCTAGAAGTGCAGAATTTCAGGACCCCAGTCCACATTCCCTGACTACATTTTCAGAATCCCAGTCGATCCATGTGTAAGAAGCACTGGTTCAGCTCTTAGTCACTCTGGGATGTCATCATCATCTGTGGGTGGAACAATTAAAACACTAATGACACCCTACTTTAAAGTTCTAAAGTGACATTTTATTGTAGAAGAGAACTTTTTTTTCTGAACTAAAAATGTGAATTTACAATGGACCTCAGTTTTCAGAGGTCTTTAAGAACTTTTTATTGACAAATAATGATGTGTCTAGTTGTAGAGTATAAACCTCCACTGTAAAAATGTTTTGTCATTTTCCTGTCCTTAATTTCAGCTTAAATGTTCCCTTTTGGAGGCCAGCATGTAATGTGCCTTATTGTCATATTTCTGTATATGTGCTGTCAAAATGAATGCTACATTTATTTTCTAATGTTTTGAGTGTTTCCAGAGTGTGAACTTCAAATGACCATCTCCAGAGCCAATAGCAGTGTTAATGTATAATATGTACTCTAAAAACGTTTGCTGAATAATCTATTTTTAATGTAATAGTCTCAAGAATAAAGTGTCTGGACTCACTGAACCTGTGAAAGGCTGTTACTGAATAATACAAAGTATTGTCCAGAAGTTTAAATGACACAAGTGACACCAGATTGATCCCACTTCTTTAAAACAAAACAAGATTTAAGTAAAAAACTTCTGCTCCATAGAGGAATTGAACCTGTGGAGCTGTAGTGACCTCTACTGACTCTTGGGGGAAGCAGTGACTTGCAGGTGGAAAGCAGTTCTCAGGGTTAGGTACCTCCCCTTTCCTTAGGTCAGGAAGCCTGCTCCCTCTTCTCTGCTTGCCACTTAGCCTTGTGGTCTCAGGGGTCCTGCTGCTCACCAACTCTACATTGAGCTCATGATGTGATTGGTATTGGGAAAAGTTCTAACTTTGATTCGTGAATGGAGGAGGTGGTGCTGGCGGTAGCTCACACCTTTAATCCCAGCACTTGGGAGGCACTTGGGAGGCCTAAATTCTAGGCCAGCCTGGTCTACAAAGTGAATTCCAGGACAGCCAGGGCTACATTCTAGAGGGACTCTCTGCTGGGGTTGGGGGAGCTTCCTTTGATTTTTGAATGGTTCAAGAGATCAAGACCAGCCTTGGTCAATGGAAGTTCCAGCACAGCCAGGGCTAGAGAGAAACTCTGTCTCAAAAAAAAAAAAAAAAAAAAAAAAAAAAACAAAACAGGGAGGTACTAATATGAAATAGTACAAAGCAATAATTTTCCTTACTTTACCTCCACACAAGAATTCCCTCTCCCCAGGCACAAACGACAGCAGACAGAAAGGAAAGTATAATTTATATGTACAACCGATAACCTGATACAGAAGAGGGGATTGGGACAGACCAGGAGTGGGAGCCAAGCCTGGGAAAGGGGCAGCAAGGAGGAAGTGGGGGTTCCCATGCAAACTGCCCCTCCCCAGCCCCTCCGTGGAGGGGGAATGTGCCCATATCTCCCTAGCCTGTTATCCACTATGTTGCTCTGGTCCCACAGGCAAGGTAGTCTCCTGACTAGGCCCCTGGCATGACTTACTCAAATTTAGTCTGTATCCAGGCCTTGAGGAGGGAGGATTTAAGTCCCCCAGAAACCTGAGCCCCAGAGTGGAGATCTGCCCCCAAGTCTGGCCCTCTGTATTCTCTCCCACCCTTTCTAGGTTTCCTAGAACAGGTCGGGGAGCTCCTCTTTGGCTTGAGGGAGTATCACCCAACCGTTATGTAGGGGTGGTCCTTGGTCCCCAGGGAGGAGAAATGTTCCTAATACAAGATGCTGGTACACAGGAGGTGAGGCGCAACAGCAATCAACTCCCTCTCTTGTAGCTGCTGCACCCTCCATCCGGAAGAGGCGGGGGTGGTGACAAGCCGCCACCCCTCCTCTCCCCTTTTTAATCCCGATGCTATTTTCATCCCTCTGTGATGCAGTTCTCCTGCTTTTTGTTGCTCTTCTCCTCACAAAAGTTCCTAAAGGCCAGGCAAGGGTAACCCCCACTTTTGAAGGAGGCGGAGGTGATACTGCAGGGAAGGACTGAGGGCTCCACCTCTTCCGTCCTGACAATCATTTAGTGGGAAGCCGTGTATTTGGTGGTGAGGAATAAGGGTACTTGGAAGACCCTGCTAACCATCTCCCACCCAGACCTCTTCACACCAGCACAGTCTTCAAGGTTTGGTGGGAAAGGTGTGTGGAGGCGGAGAGAGATAGGGGTCCTTTTTGAGGGAGAAGTTATAGAGGGGCAAAAGGGCTCCTAGCCCAGTGGTGGCCCAAGGGGTGGGGAAGGTGGAGGGTTGGCAGCAGGCCCCAAGGCCTGAGATGTGGGTCGGCTCCGGGGTCGGGGCCTAGGTGAAGGGCAGGCCTGAGATCCAGTCAGTCGTCTATACAAATCACCTCCCCTGCTCGGGGTTCCTTCCGATCCAGCCCGTCTGACACCAACGCCCCCATCATTTCCTTCTCTTTCTTCACCAGCACTGGAGGGCCGTTGGTGGTGGCTGTTTTGGGAGACAGGTAAGGAAAGGTCAGTCCCTACACCCCAACTACCACTCCCCGATGACAGCCTATCCTTGCTGCCACTTTGATTTTTCTTATAAAGGTAGAGGGGCTGGGAGAACTCCTCCTCCTCAGCCTCCTTGTGCCACGGTGTGACAGGGTCTGACTCTCTAGCCTTTTTGAATTCACATTCACTTCTCCGTGAAGAAATCAAGTAGAGGAAGTTTCAAGTGGTAGATATAAAGTCACATAACGGCTGAGGCTTTGGGTTTCTTGTTTTTTTGAGAAATGGTCTCTCTACATAGTCCTCACTGTCCTGGAACTCAAACTCACAGATACCCACCTGCTTCTGCACCCCCCCCAAAGTTCTGGGATTAAATGTGTGTGTCTCCACACCTGGATGTGTGGCAGCATCTCCCACCGCCCAGGCTGGCCTGAGGACTCTCAGGAATCCTGCCTCAACCTCCTGACTACTGGAGTTTTGTCAAGGGGATGGAAGGGACACACAGGAATGGATATAACAAGTCCAGAGCAACTCTTCCCTCAAACAGTGGACACTTACAAGGAAGAGATGGGTTTAAAGCAGGGCAAGGGAGTCAAGCAGGGATGAAGTTTGGCAAAAGTGAGGGAGAAGCAGGAGTCAGAACCGCCATCTGACCTGTGATGAAGGACCCTGCAGGCATCTGACTGTAATTGGCGCCTGCGGCGGCCAGGGCCCCTACGGGTGCGGCGCTGAAGGCTGCCCCGTATCCCGGTGGTGTGGCGTAAGGACCCGGGGGAAAGGCCTGGAACAGAGGGCAAGCTGAGGTTAGTTTTTGGACATGCTCCAGTCATGCTCCAAAATTACTACAGGTTATGACAGAAGCAGGGAGACTCAAGGTGAAGACTGTTGTAGCAGGCTGTGTCTCCACTATTTGTAGGATTCCGACGGGGGTGTGTGTGTGTGTGTGTGTGTGTGTAGGGGGCACTGTAGAGGGAAACAAGTTAGGGGAAAAGAGGGAGGGTTACCGGTGTGGGGTGAGGCTCTGTGCCCTTGCTGGCCAGCCGGCTGAGGATGCTGCGCTCTGACATCTGAAGGCGGGCTGCGATGGGGGGTATTCGGGACAGCGTGGCTGGCAGGCGGGTCACATCCGCCTTCATGTCGCTCAGCAACTCCTCCAGCTGGTTCAGAACTGGGGCCCGGGCCACAGAGAAAGAAAGGCAAGAGAAAGATGGAAAGAGAGATGGAGCCAGAAAAAGTGACAGTCAGATGGACAAGTACAGTTAGAAGGAGAGGACACAGACATCAAAGGACCACAGACCAAGTGACAAAAATGACAGAGATTACACAAAAAAAGAGTGATTCAGAGGAGGAAAGTGTCAGGCCAGATAACACATAGGACAGATGGAAATAAAGAAGAAAAAAGAATATGGAAAAAAGGTAGGGGAAAGACATTAGAAGACATGGGGTTGGG